CAAGACGCAGCACGCTATTTGTAAATGAAGAAACACGTTTTGCTGGCTTGCTGGCTGCAGCGTGGCGGTGACGTCACGCCGTTCATCTGCGTGATGACGTCACCGCCTCCCGGCGTTTGTGCTCCGATGCCGCGCAGTTAGAACAAAGCAAGCAAAGGCGACCACCTCCAGTGAGTGTTCGATAGACTGTTGGGGCACGTGGCGTGAGCGGACACGTGGTGAGGAGGCCGACGCGGCACCACGAGTTGTGACCAACCCCACGCCGGCTCACATTCGCCTCCGCAGTGCTGCTGTTAAAACACCGCAACAGGATCTCACGCATGACGATACGGTGACATAGGGGGGAGAGGACCGATTGAGATAATCCGCACGAATGTTGGCCGCGGCTGGGGTCGTAACGCAATTAACCAACGCGCCCCCCATGAACGCATCAAAGGCGAAGATCCCCCGTGTAGCCTTAACGAGACGTTCATAGGGGCAAGTCGTCTTCGCGAGCTGCACCTACGAAGGCCGGCACCCTCACTCGAACACGTGCAGCTTAAGGACACGAAGCTTTAAACAAAAACAATGTGGTTATAAAATGTCCACATGCCACAGATACAGTCACTTCTGCTATAGCGCGTGTTTTCATCACGCGAATTGGGTATCACGCGATGAATGTAGAAGGGAACGCGTCTTTTTTTTATCGCGAATGCGAATTGGATATAACGCGACTGAGTGAACAGAAGTGCATCGCTCGAGCCGGAATAGTTGGTTGTACGACAGCCTCACACAAGGTGGGGTGCGGCTTTGCTGATTTAAATAAGTGGCTTAGCGAATAACACGTTAACATGCATTTTTCACTAATTTTCACGTTTTTATTAAATTATGAACCAATGGTTATTATAAGGCAATTCTTCCATAACGCGGTGTTTTTCATGGATGCAGTTACCACGTCACAGGCGAACAGACTACATTGTATGAGGTTTCATCAGAATAATAAAATATAAATTTACAGGTGTCTCTCAGTCCACTGCTGGATGAAGGCATCTCCACCCTCTGCCAGTCATGGAGGTTGATTGACCATACTTCACCGCCCTGGTCAATGGCGGGTTCGTGAACGGTGTGGGAGAGGCGGCCTCGCTCCAGTTTGGATGTCAACCACCGATGTAGACTGCGGCTGAGAACCCAACTCAGATCGCTGGTTTCGCAGGGCTGTGAGGTGCTCCAACCCCCAACGTCTCGCCTGGTTCTAAATGAGTTGGAATTTGATTTATTGTTCACGTCAGAAAATGTGCTGAAGCCATTCTGATTTTTATTAGTCACGCCTCTGTAACAGGCAAAATATATAACGAACACGCAAGCAGCCGCATTCACAATTAATAAACACACAAACACACACACATAGTGTGTGCCCGCGGCAACCACAACAAAACCCCAACAATGTTTAAATTCAGCACAGAGAAAGCAGCGGTCCAGAAGCCGTGGTTTACGCACGCGATAACTCTGCCAAACGCACGTCACCCCCTTCCACTCCAGACACCCGCTTTCAAGTGTTCATCACGGCACACAGACCTCTCCCTTCTCACTGCACCTCTCAAGGTCACTTTAGCTAGAGGGGGCGAAACATCTGGTCCAATCAGGCACGGATCGCCCATGTACGTCAGGTACACGGAGACGTTGGGAAATCAGGTCTCGGGAGATTCAACCCGGCGCAGATTCGAGTTCTCCTCGTTGCTCATCGTGAAGGGTGCGGGGTCACGCCGTGACCCACAAACAGCCGTGTCCTTCATCACGATCGCTTGCCCAATAAAGCTGGCAGCTGCCTCCTGCGGTTACGTGGAATTTGGAGGAACGCGGTACGCCGGGAGCGCAGGAGTTAATAATAGCAATTAAATAATAGTCCGCGGCCCTGCGCAAATCCATTGGTGGATGAGGAGGCCTCCCCATGCCGTGTCGGTCGTGAAGGTTTGCTTGGTCATGCTTCAGCACGCTGGCCACTGTGGGTTGGGTTCAGCGTCAAAAGGACCCCGTCACTACTCCAGCACACGTAATAATATGATGCTTGCAGTAATACGTTCATTCTTTCCACTCGAAAGCTTAATTGTGTCCCAAGGACTTTTTTTTCTGGTGAGCACTGCATTGGGACCTTTTTTTCCATTTAACGATGTTAATTGTGCGGCGTGAGGGAGGATACCGAATGACCCTGATGATACCCATGGGATAACACTCATATCTCCGCACAGATGGATTTGTGAAGCTAGTGCTGTTATCTCATAACATATGCCAATATGCAGCAATAGGTGGACAAATTCCCATCCAATTGCTAACCAGGCTCAACCCCTGCGAGGCTTTTGAGATCTGACGATGTCAATCACATTCAGGAAGATTTGACGATGGGCGAAATATGAGACCCTGGACGCTGTAATTTATATTGGTTTGAATAATAGATAAATATATATTTGTAACTTGATTAGACATGCTAAAGCGTTCATACATAATTAATTAGCAAAATTGCGGGTTTTAAAATTAATATATTCATTCGTGAAAGTCCAGGGTAATGCATCGAATAGCGTGCTTAGGAACCAATGTGGTATTCTTTTTATTTCCATATCGGTTGTATGTAATAGGTTCACATCGTCCCTGCAGCCACCAATACTCACTACACTCACAACAACGTGAACAAAATAACTGATTCTTAAATCAAATCGCAACTCTGATATCGTGGCAAATCAAAACACCTCAATAACGTAGAGTGTGATCTATTCTACAATTAATTTTACATTGGGCGTTAACTCACTTTCGTTTTGATGTTATACTGACCTGCCTTGCATGTATATTAGTTAATCCAAGGTGATTTATCCTCCTTTTCTCCTCTTATTTTCTCAGAACGATAGCGTGGAACATACGTGAGGCTGTGATGAACATTCTCCGTGTATTGGAGATTGTTATTAGCCCTGAACTTTCCAGCTTGCTAATCCGATAAGACTAATGTGTGTATGTAACACGCTTGTAAGCACGGTTTTGAAAAAAATCTATATTTTCTTTGCAACAAGCAGAAAACTCCCCGTCGCTTGCCCATATATACACCGTATGGATATATTAACCATCCAGTGTGAGGTCCACGTACACTTTCTGCAATATCTTGACGTATTTCAGATTCGAGGGGAAACGCCCATCAGCGCACCTCTTCGCAACAACAACAAGAACAACAACAACAACAACGATGCTCGCCGTTTGTGTCCATCTGCATGCAAATTGGATGACGGGTTTAGCAGCTGCTCGCTCACGAGTTAACAAGGACAATCCCGCTCGTACGCAGCTTAAAGAACCAACGAATTACACAGACGACCTCAATTACGCGACTCTCTGTCAATGCCGCAAATTAGATTTCTTTTTTTTTTGCCGATTTTCAGACTTCGTGCTCGCAGACGTCAAACAAGGGACCGCGCTCCCGATCCAAAGCTCCCTGCAGCTGCGATGTCACCCACAGCGGTTTCAGAAATCCTCCACGGACCTGCCCGTTGCCTCCCTCTCTCATCTCCTCTCACTCAACTCCCCCCCGCGCACTCTCTGCTCTAGCAACCGTGGCTTTCTGTCACAGCACCCGCCAAGGCTATAGCCATCACTGTGTGGGAGGTTGATATTTCTCTGCTGCAGCTGCTGATGCTTCACCGGTCTGGAATTAACTTCTGTTGGCTGTCCGCGCCACTGAAACCCCCTCTCTCCTCTCTCTGTACAAATTCAGGTTCAAGGATTTTGCTCTTGTATTGTGTTTTGCCACTGACTGCCCCGTCTCTACGAAGCATGCGCACATCTCCCCGAAGGTCGCTTCCATTTCCCCTCGGGGCGACAGAATTATGGTCATCATTTCCGACAATGAACTAAAATATACATCTCCGTTCGGCAAAACTCTCCAGATGAACATGATTATCCTGATTTGTCCAGCGCCTTGAAATGCAGCCACATTTTAATAAGCTAAACACAAAATATTTTTTTTACCAGGTAAGGCCCACTGACCTATACAACTCTTTTTCAAACGCGACCTGGCCACACATGATAGCTAAACGAAGTGGTTTATCACGTGGAAACGTATCGCAGTGAAATGCTCTAAACACACGTGGTTTCTAAATGTGAGGGGGGAAAACCGAAGGACCCAGAGAAAAATCTACACGACCACAGCGAGAAAGACATGCAACCTCCAAATATACGGGCGTCAATGTCTGGATGGAACCTGTGACTTCATGTATACCAGGCGAGGTGGTTAACATCTCGCCACCATGGACAACATTACAGCAGCAGCTGAAATTCATACAGCATGCCATCGCATTTCAGGACACTTTACAAAATTGAAACAAACTCAATTTGACACTTTCATCATTATCATGATCATCAGCCATGAACAATCCACTGTTGCATGAAGACATCTCCAAGCTGGTGCCATCTCTTACGACGCTGTATCATTCTCACCAACAGGGTCGTAACAATATCCACGTCGGTTTAAATGCATAGATCTCTTACTGGCTCGGTTGTTGACGTTCTCTCCGATGCCCTTTCGGGTTGTCACCGCGCGTTATTCTCCAATCGCTTTTGAAATCGATTCGAGGAAGCGAAGAAGCGAGTCGCCCAGGCCGTGCAGAAACACGCCGGTACATCGCGCGGGACGCACACGCGGGACGCACACGCGGGACGCACACGCGGGACGCACACGCGGGACGCACACGCGGGACGCACACGCGGGACGCACACGCGGGACGCACACGCGGGACGCACACGCGGGACGCACACGCGGGACGCACACGCGGGATAACCAACCCGAAGTCACAGAGACATTCGCGCACGTCAACCCGCATTAGGTGCGCGCTCGCTCGCGAGACGTCCACGCGTCCTCACAGCGCGCGCTCTTTGCGCGACAGGGACCCCCCCGCGTACCCCCCACCCCCGTACCCCCACCCCCGTACCCCCCACCCCCTCCGCGTACCCCTCCCCCGTACCGCCTCCCCCCCCCCCTTCCCGCGTACCGGAGCTCGCTCTGCTGTCACTTTCCGCCGAGACCCCATCGGGGCTCGAGATCTTAGCTGGTCCTCCGCTCGCCGTGGGGCTTTCCCCGCCGTCGGTGTCGCCGCCGCCGCCGCCCGGATGAGCTGGGGGGGTCGCCGAGCCGGCGGCGGCGGGGGGGCCGCCCTCCCCCCGAAGGCCGAGCTCGCAGAAGCGCTGCTCCAGCAGCTGCACGGAGCCCGCCGTGCCGCACGCGGGGTCGTGCTGCCTCGCCTGCAGCCGCGCGTCACAAAGATACGAAGATACAAAGATACGAAAATAATAAGACACGGGCAAAGGCCTCCACTCCCCCCCCCCCCCCCCGTGTAGCCCACGCAGACCGTCAGGGGTGGCAAAGTGCTGCCAGCGTGCATCTGGGAAGGGGTGGCACGACACGCGTCACACGCATACAGCGCCACACGCCCAGCCATCCACTCATGCACGCACACGTGCATGAGCAGCACAGAGTGAAAGCACGTGCAATTCTCAACTTGAAACACGTGCCGAACCTGGGTTTGAGTCCTTGACCGTGGCTAAGGTCGGTGTGGCAAGTGTCAATTGAAGCGGTCGTGATAGAGATTAAAGTAGTGGAGGAAGGTAACACTGATCGCTAGCCATGAAAACAAACAATGCACATATACCAGTAAATGAATGATATTTCAGAACGACCATTAGGAGGTTATGGGTGTCACACTCGAAGCCACTGCATTCACAGCATGAAAAATGTAGAACGCTCCCAGATCAAAGGAAATAACCGGGAACACCATCAAAGAAGTGGGGCCAGCTGTTGGATCTTTCCACGGAATGGAAATATCTCAATGTCGGAATGACGCCTCGCTTCCTTCTTCTATTCAAAAAAAGGAAACAAACCCCGATTGGATAATTACAGTCCCATTAACCCCACGATCAGCGCGTAAATTGTGAACGAGAATTGGCACGGGGAACTAAATGATTGACGATTTAGAGGAGAACCCTGACACGTAAACACAGCACGGTGAAGCATGATCAAACATTCCCGATGATCGACGCGACTTTGGGAGGCCTTCATCCAGCAGCGGATTGACGAAGGCCTGCGGAACGGAAAGAGGTGACTCACGAGAAGACACAGCGGCCGGTTGTCAAAACTAATAAACGAAAACAGTTTATTTTTTATTTTTACCAGGTCGGCCCATTGAGCTATACAGATCTTTTTTTTAGAATCGATCTGGCCACAAATGATAGCTCGACGAAGTGGCTTATCACGTGGAAATGTATTGCGGCCAAATACTGTAAACGCGTGATGTTGATTCGAAATGTGGAGGAAAAAACCGGAGGTCCCAGAGAAAAATCCACGCGACCACGGGGAGAAAGAGACAAGCAAACTACAAATATGCAGCAGGCATCAGGGTCGAGATTGAACCCACGTACTTCTGCATAACAGGCGAGGTAGTTACCATCTCGCCACCGCGGCACCATAACTAGTTATGGTGTGATGTCCACACAAGAGGGCGACCACCGTGGAGATAAACAGATGATAGAGATAAATCGTTTTAACGTCGGAGATAAATAGATTATTGATTCGCAAGACTGAAGAATGACGGTGGCTTGGCTTGGTGCGGTCCTTGATTTAAAATGTAGCATTACCATACAATGCATCTCGGTAGCATTTGCTTAAATTAGAGTAACAATGTTTCTCAAACTACCCTTGAATGTGTGTATGTTGAACGTACTTCACACCGTACGTAGCCAACCGTGCCAATCAGACGTGCGGGTGGGAAGGACAGCAAACTTAAAAGCCGAAAGGTGTTCTAAAGAAATGAGTTTTCAATCTAGATTTAAAAGTGCATCGCTCCAGTGGCTTCCTAACATTGTCTAGAATATCTACAGAGGGCCAACTATATTTTGGTAATCCCTCACTCACGAGCGACTTGGGATGCGCTCACATGTAGATGCTCAATCAATCCAATTCCTATTAGAGTTGTGCCGATTACTCATCCCACTTACAAAGAGCCCTCCCTTGGTCAGTCTCTCACTCAAGACCAGCGCTGCCCCTCCCCTTCCCCTCCCAGATATTTTTGGATGGTTGTGTATATATCATAGTCGGGGAAACGATTAAAAACAAAACCAGCTGGGCATGTGCAGTGGAAAAAGTTGTAGAGAAGAAACTGACATTGAGATTGAGAGAAGCGCTGGCATTGCATGAAGATAGAGAACTGCGAATGAAGTTAACTAAAACAACAATTTCACCCGGTAGTAACAACTGAGCTATGTAACAACTCTTTTTCAGAAGCGACCTGGCCATAAATGATGGCTCAACGCAGTTGGCTTATCATGTGGAAAATGGAGAGCAGCCCAATAGTCTAAACGCGTGTTTCTAAATGTCGAGGGAAATACAGGAGGACCCTTATCAAAATACAAAAAAATAATTCGGCTCCTTCCTCGCTAATGAGCTGACGGAAGTGACAGATGATGATGTATGTATGTCATGAGCGTAAAATTAAAAATTAATCGCAACTAACAATTTATGTCAATTTTATTTTATAACCTATTAAATATGATACAATGTTTTTTTTTATTATATTTTACGTGCGATGAATTTTGGTTTACAAAATGTGTTACTTTGTGAAATTAAATTAATTATTTACACCCAATCTCTATCTACCGATGGGTGAAAGCATCCCCGTGCCGCGTTGATCATGGGTTGTTGTTGTTGTTGTTGTTTTTTAGCAATACCTCACCACACTGGGTTCGTGAAAAAGGGTAGAGGGGTGGGCTGTGGCACCAAATTGTGATATGCAGGTAATTTTCCAATGCTCTTACCACATCTGGGAATCTAAACCGCATCTGACAATCGAACTCTGCGTGCTAACCGCTGCACCGCTGCTCGACTTTGCATTGAAGTGGCAACGATTTGGCAGCTCTGAAATATTTGGGTGGGTGTGTGGGTGGGTGGGTGTGTGGGTGGGTGGGTGTGTGGGTGGGTGGGTGGGTGTGTGGGTGGGTGTGTGTGTGGGTGGGTGGGTGGGTGTGTGGGTGTGTGGGTGTGTGGGTGGGTGGGTGTGTGGGTGTGTGGGTGTGTGGGTGGGTGTGTGGGTGGGTGTGTGGGTGGGTGGGTGGGTGTGTGGGTGGGTGGGTGTGTGGGTGTGTGGGTGTGTGGGTGGGTGTGTGGGTGGGTGGGTGTGTGGGTGTGTGGGTGTGTGGGTGGGTGTGTGGGTGGGTGTGTGGGTGTGTGGGTGTGTGGGTGTGTGGGTGTGTGGGTGGGTGTGTGGGTGTGTGGGTGGGTGTGTGGGTGATGTGGGTGTGTGAGTGAGTGTGTGTGTGGGTGTGTGGGTGTGTGTGTGTGTGTGGGTGTGTGTGGGGGTGTGGGTGGGTGTGTGGGTGGGTGTGTGTGTGTGTGGGTGTGGGTGTGTGGTGTGTGAGTGAGTGTGTGTGTGTGGGTGTGTGGGTGTGTGTGTGGGTGTGGGTGTGTGGGTGGGTGTGTGGGTGTGTGTGTGGGTGTGTGTGTGGGTGTGGGTGTGTGGGTGGGTGTGTGGGTGGGTGTGTGGGTGTGTGTGTGGGTGTGTGTGTGGGTGTGTGGGTGGGTGTGTGGGTGGGTGTGTGGGTGGGTGTGTGGGTGTGTGTGTGGGTGTGTGGGTGTGTGGGTGGGTGTGTGGGTGGGTGTGTGGGTGCCTCTGCACATCGTCAGCGCCGCCCTACCGTTGTGAGTACGGAGCGGGGGAAGAGACGCACCAAGAGACACCCCTCCCCCCCCTCCCCCTCCCCCCCCTACAGGGCTTGAGAATGCCTTGCTTTGGGAGATTATGGTTTATCTGTGCCGCCGCTTCCGCGGGGAAGGGCACTGCGGAGTAAATATAGCTCTTCCCAGGAGGACGGAGATGAAAGCCCACGGCTCTTAACCAGCGCCTCCAGCAGGAAGACACCTTCATGCAGGACCCAGTGACAATTGCCTTCACGCGCCACCCAACATCTCACCTGGGGCTTTGTTCTCATCTCCCTGGATTGCTTCCACCCATTGTCTCGGTGTCAACAATGAAAAATGATATGTGTACTGGTTTGGTGTGTGTATGTGGGCGTGGTGCTGGCCACCCACCCCCTCGTGTGCCGTGTCGGCCTTCATTGTTGCTCGCTAACACCACTTGCCCCAACAGTCTGTTTGGGCTATACGGGGGATCTTTGTATTTATATGTGCCAGCCTTCATATGTCTCCGCTGATAGCACTTGCTGTGGCAGCCTGTGTCTTTGGAAGGGTACACTATCTTACTTTCTGTTTAGCCAGTCTAGTCTTATTATGATTCATCCGAATACTGTGAATAATAATGAATAATTTGCTGCTCAATTTGGTCGTCCATGGGAGTATTAATTAACTAAAAAATAAGGCCACGTGTACACATAGGTGCTTCCTGACAGCACTTGCTCCTCATTTTTCCGTATGGATACACGGCAGTATATTTTGGCGGATATTTATGCACCGCCCTTCAATCAACAATACCTTCCAGCCGTTTGTAAATCCACTGCTGAATTAAAGCATCTCCACTGCGTGTAGGTAATGGAAAGTGCGGGGGGGGGCTGTTTGTACATACTTCATCATCCTGGTCAGAGCAAGTTGGTGAAGGTGGGGGGCACGGAGGGGGTGGGTTGGTGGGTTGGGGAGGGGGAGCCCGGGAACTGTGTCAGATGTCGCTCGCGGCAATCATAGTTCACTGCGCTAACCGCTGCGCCACCGCTCCAACCCCCGCTCCCCATGTAAAAAAACACCCCCGCGACTGCATGAATACATCATTGTGAGCAAAAAAGCGTGGCTCGTGGAGCGCGCGCTGCAGTGTGGCCCCATGTGTTGCGGTGCGGTCTATATTGCCTCCGACTTGACAAACGATGTAGGTTTCGGCACAGGGCGATCAATGCGATCAGGCCGTCACAAGCCAGGAGCCCGTGTGCCTTTGCTTCGACGGCTCGTGCGATGTCGCCGGTGTTTCGCTGGCATTTTTTTGTTTTCATCATGAAGCGTGAGAGTTTTGTATTTTGGTGAAAGCATTTATGGAAAGCGCTGCGTTTAAATAACAGTCGCTGCAACTGAACTGGGGCTGTGTGTGGATAAGTGTTCAAGCTTGGCTGAGCACAAACGGAAGAAAAAAATGATTCATCGAAAAATAATAATTCCTGTGGTTGTTGCAGCGTGCTATTCAGAGCCTGCGTACGCGTACACAGTGTCTGCAAAAGGGTTAGGCTGAGCCCTTTAATTCAAGCCTTGCATTGCATTGAGATGGGTTTTTTTCAAGCTCAAAACAGCATCCAGGGACGCAGCCTCTTATTCCTGAATTAGAAAACGGCGCGTTACTACGAATGCCACGATAAATCGCCTGCATGCTGTCCTTGCTCCATCAGCATTATCATCATCGGCCATGATCAATCCACTGTTGGATGGAGGTCACGTCTCAGCTGAACACTGATTGATTTGAGTGCTCCATCTCCTCGGCCGACGTACCAATCGGACACGTTCCATCCCTTTCGTTAAAATTTTTACAGACCTTTGTCAATACAATGCTGTAAGAAGGCCTCCCCAGAATGTGTCGATCATTGGGGTTGATTGACCATACTTCAGCACACTGGTTATTGAGAGTCGGTGAAGGGCAACCTGAGGACCTGGTTTAGATGCCACTCACCGTTGATTTTTACCATGAATGGGATTCGATGTTAAAATCGCCGGGTTCATAGCGCAGAGCGCGAACCACTGCTCCACTGCTCAACTCAACTCCCTTCATTACTCAACGTGGATACTTCTGCGGCAATAAAAAAACAACCCTTACAGGAATACGCGAGACGAGGCATACGATAGCACAGACGGATACACTGGTGGTTTATTGAGAGCCGGTATTGCAGCATTTGCATTTCTCGCATCGCGGATGCGGAATATCAAACGCTCCACAGCCATCAAAGGGCTGTCCGCTGGGGTTTGTACACAGCTCGCAATTCTATAAACAATGAACACAACGGCGCGCGCGTCTCTCTCTCTCTCCTCTCATTAATGGCAGAGAGAGGATGTCCGCCTCGCTGCTTGTGTGGTGGGAAGACAGCGGTGGGATGGAAATGTAATATTTGAGCCATTGTACCGCAACGGCTCCCCGCGTGTGTAAAAAAACAAACAATTCGTGATGCGTAAAATAGAGGGCGTCGTTAAACGGATTGATGTACGCGTCCGTCTCTTCTTTGTGTGTGTCTGGGGTTACGATTTCCCTCTTGCTTGTGGAAGGCAAGGCGTGATTCACGCTCCGTGGTAACACTGCCGCTCGGCAGTACAAATGTGACCGTGCATTTGTTATTGCGGTGGGCTGTGGAGCCGGCGTCACGGTGGTTAGCACACTGCACGATGATGCTGGTCACCATGAGTTCAACTCCCGGCCACGGCTATCACGTCAGTGGCGAGCGAGTGATGTCGAAACCAGTCTCACCTGGCCGACCCCTTCGCCAACCACACAGCCCAGAGCGTGGGCGAACAACCAACACATGATCATCCACACGGCGATGGGAGAGGTCTTCGTCGACTGGATTGACTGACACGCGGCTGCGAGTAAATAATGCGATCTGTAATTGTCGCGCAAGAGAGGATCGATACAACACAAGCCTCGCCGTAAGACTGCAATGGAATGGCGTTAGGCGGGCACGACTCCTGTAATCGATACTGGGGACCTTTACTCAACACGAGCAGAGGCAAGCCGCGTTAGTCTGAACGACGACGTGGGAAATACTAACCGAGAGCTCTCTGCGCCTCTGAATTGTGCCTTTCTCGACTAAACATCTGGAATAAGTTCGACCACCGCACAACACACGAGGTTTCCACCCCGTCTCTCTGCTGATGGAGCCCTAAACTAGTTCCAGCGTGACTCAGCAACTTGCAGAACCTACAGAACTCTCCGCGTGTGTAACGCATGCGACACAGTTAACCACGGATTAAAATATCACTCGGTATGTTCCTGAAGGCTGCTGCTGCTAGGCAAGCTTGGGGTTCTGGTTATCCCGCACATCGCGATTATCACGCTTGCATGCGTGCGGTGCGAAAATAAGTGCAACGTGCATACATTAGCGGCATAAGGCACTACCACTAGAGTGCACGGTGCAATGATCATCGATAATAAATCCTACAACATTGTACCCTGTGTTGCTGTGATCCCATGAGCACGCCACCGCACACGCCACCGCAGCGGCGTCGTGAGGACAACACGAGGCGAGGTGGACGTCGCGTCTTTAAATTCGGGAACAGCTTTCACGGACTGTTCCGGATGAACTCAAAGCACTGGGCGGTACATCTCTCGCGCACCCGCGCGCGCGAATTCTCAGGATTGCGGATTAGCCGAGCTGGCGTAAGAAATCAAACAAAAGGGAGATGGAATTTTTTATTTATTTTAAAGCGAGCATTGTTTTTTGCTTGTTAGAGTCGACAGCTCCTCGCTTGTCGGGAGGGAGCAGGTCAGTGACGCACAGGCCACGTGGTCACACATATGTCAATTAGTTGGAGGAAACAAAAACAATAAAAAAACAAATGACATTTCCACGCCTTCACACAATCTGCACAGGTGGTCGGTAAACCGGGTACCAAACTGTGGTTGGGCATGACATAGGAACGTGACATTTCCACCAGCGCACTGACTGGCTCAGGGCTATAAAATGAACACCGTACATATCGCACGGGATGTGTCCGTCGCATAGAAGTGCAGTACAACAATGCACATTACCGTACAACAATGGATCTTACCGCCATGCCCTCTACTGCCCACAACGTAGCCCGTGTCCCCCCGTCAACCCTCCCCGCCTTCACCAACGCACGCGGAACCAGCGCGGTGAAGTATGGTCAAACTACCCGCACGACCCGAACGGCGCGGGGAGGACCTTGTCCAGCAGTGCATTGAGAAATGGCTGACCATGTAGGAAGGCAAAGTCACGAGCACACAGCACACACACACATCTATGATAGCACCCATCGTGTGAGTTCGCAATCCGGCACTTTTGAGGCAAGGGTTAGTGGATCGACGGAGAGATCTGCGAAACTTCCAAACTCAGTAGTGCTCGGCCAGGTGGCCAGGATAATGACAGCACAGCAAATTTGGTCGCAATCCATCCGTGCGGAGCTGTGAGTGGCATCCTCTCGGTGCGCGGTGGGGTTTCTCCGGGAACTCCGGTTTCCTCCCACATTGCCAACTCTCTCATCGGAGGAAATTGGCCAAACGTGAAAGCGCAGGACCCTCCTAAGGAGCAGCCTCGAGACGCAGTGCGGCTTTAAATAAGGAGCAGTAGCGTTTAGTTACGTAGGGTGCACAGCCTTTTGTCACTCCACTGCTGAATGAATGTCTCTCCACGTCGCCGCCAGTCACGAGCGTTGCTTAGGCCGTACATCACCACGCCGGTCATCGCGGGCTGCTGGAGGCGAAGCCCAGCACCGTATCGGACATCGCTCGCCACCGGCATGAGTTGGCCGTGTTCGCGAATCTCAACTCGGGTCGCACAGGTTCGCAGCGCGATGCTAACCGCTGCGCCACCGCTCCCCCGCGACATCATCATCACCACCGTCACTAAAATCACAACTCAGTGCTCGGTGATAACTCACCAAGTGCGGTCCCACGAGCAGCGCGTACAGCCAGTCGCGCCCTCCCAGGGGGCACGGGGGCGAGTCTGGACGACCCTGCCCCCCCTGGACTTGCCCCTGGCCGTGCCCTTGCCCAGCGAAGGGGCCGTGCAGGGCAGCACGAACCAGCGCCCCCTGGCGCCGCTTGAGACTCTCGAGGTGACGGATTCCGGCGAGCGCAGACTCGAGTCGGATGGCGGTGAGTCGCGGGGCGGCTCCGGCAGCGGACAGCGGCAGCGACAGAGGCGCGGCCGCGTCTTGCGGTGTCCCGTCGACCCTCTCGCGCGACACCTCCACGCCCACCGACATGGCTGGCTTGCGATGCACCCGCCGCGCGCGCGAGATGCGTGATCGTGTCGTGACCCACGCTGTGTCTTATTCGTTGCAGGCGTACGTCTCGATTGCAGAGCCTATCTGCATTCGGTTTGCCCCATCCAACGTATTGCCCCCCCTCTCTCTCTCGCTGCCGCTGTAATACGGAGGAGGTAGCCGGAGAGAATTCAACACAACGTAGAGTTATTATTATTGTGTTGAGAAGACACCGTTGTATTCGTCCGGGCTACATTGTGCGCAACAGCCGATGTCTGTGTACACAACGCCGGCTGGCCGGCTGATGCTTGCGGATGGTGATGGTGCTGAAGAACGCGAGACGCGCGCACGGAATGCCTCTCTCCTCCGTGCCGGTCTGAGCACGACTGCGCCGCTTGTGGAGCGCAAGAGGCGAGCAGCCGCCGCTAACCATTCATCCCCCGCCTCCTCCTCCTCCTCCTCCCTTCTCCCTCCACAATCCATCAAAGACAAAGATTCCCCGTGTAGCCTTAACAGACTGTTGGGGCAAGCGATGTTTGCGAGCACCTATGAAGTACGGCACGGCAGACGAGGGGGTGGATAGGCAGCGCCTCACCCGTCCGCCTTTGTCTCCCCAGTGACGATATTTACGTACAGCACCAGGTACTCATTTGAGGCTGAGTCGACCTAGGAGAGGTCCAGGACCGGTTCAGATAATCGTCACTGGCGTTGACCGTGAGCGGGAACCGAACCAAGATCGCTGGGTTCGTAGCGCAGCGCCCCTACACCGCCACCTCCCCCCTCTCCATCAATCCACCCCCACCGCATGCACGCGTGGGTCTCTCTGTGTCTCTGTGTGCGCGTGAGTCTCTGTGTCTCTGTGTACGCGTGAGTCTCTGTGTCTCTGTGTACGCGTGAGTCTCTCTGTGTCTCTGTGTACGCGTGAGTCTCTGTGTCTCTGTGTACGCGTGAGTCTCTCTGTGTCTCTGTGTACGCGTGAGTCTCTGTGTCTCTGTGTGCGCGTGATCCTCTGTGTCTCTGAGTGCGCGTGAGTCTCTGTGTCTCTGAATTCGGGTACTTGCGGTAGGGAGCAGTGGTTAACGCACAGCGTTACCAACACCGGCCACCTGGGTTCGATTCCCAGCCACGTACAATATCAGTGGCAAACGATGCAGACATCTACAGTTGCCTCCTATAAGCCAACCCAGAGTGGCCAGCTTAGTGAAGTATGTTCAAACAATTCACGTTACTAACCCTGGAGAGGAGACGCTTTCATCCGGCAGTGTGCGTGGGTGGGTCTGCTGGCGCAGTAGTCACCGCGCCTTCCCTCCGCTAGATTCTCAATCCGTGCTGACAATAGCGGCACGCGGTGTCTGGATCTGTCGTGAAGTCTCACTGGCTCGACTCGGTCTTACTTCACTGGCTAGAGAGCGGTGGGCAATTATCAGAACCGCTGTGGTTCTTGCCATACATATTCTCGCCGACAGCACGTTCCCCCATCAGTCGGTTTAAAGACTTTGCCAAGGATCAGGATCTTTACATTGCTGGTATGGCTTGGGCCTCGTATAGGTCGGCTCGGACTAAAACGAACATCCGCTGCAGAATTGTGGCAATGGCAGTAACGGAGAAACAAAGGCGGTAGGTAGGGGTGTGTGTGTGTGTGCTAGGCTGCTATCAGGTGCTCGCTAACAGCACTGTACAGTTAAATAACTGTAAAATACCATTGACAACCATCGAAAATCATGACCCTCATCAATCATAATTATCATCGAGCAACCATCGTCAATTAACCCTTGTCGATTACCTGACGGCGTTCAGTTCTTCACTAATGCGACTGTGTTCCTGATGGGTGCAAACATCATTTAATACACACACACGTGCGCGCGCGCGTATACACTCTCATTAGCACACACACAGACACACTCGCCTAATGAAAATCTCACCTATTTAATTGAACGCTCATTTGCGCTCTTTTACAAAGGGGCCACCTCTGTGTCAAGGTTTAACTCTAACCCCACGAGCATCGCTACTCCGCCTTCTCCAATGAACCAGAGAGAACTACAAGGATTTTCTACCATTGAATCGGAGCGTGAGTTTATTGTTACTTGTGCAACACAACCTAATAATAATTATCCACTGCTGGATAAAGATGTCTCCCACGCCGTGTCAGCCATGGGGCATGTTCAGCCATACTTCACCACGCTGGTCAATGGTAATTTAACGAAGGCAGGGGGGGTGACAGCCTTTGCAAGGACCGGTTAAGATATCACTCGCCACCGATATTAGCTACAGTGTATGGCGGAGTGCGCTAACCACAGCGCCACCGCTCCACGTGCGCAATAGTCCAGGTGATGCCCACGTGGCGACTGAATGGGGCATCCTGCAGAGAGGCTCAGAGCTCTCGACTTGAGCAGGACTCGGGGCTGTGAGAGCAGCCGGGCCGTGTGTGCGGCCAGAGGGGGTTTAGTGCACGGGCCAAGGTTTGACGGGAGGGTCGAGTCTGGAGGTTAATGGTCTCCTGCAGGGCAGTTCTCGGGGGGTGCACGCGGGACCCCTTGTTTATAAAGGGTCCCCTTCATCCCCTTGACGCCCCCTCCCGCTCCTGGATGTGCCCCCTCGTGACACCCGACGACCTCGACTCATGCACTACACGTGCTCGCACTGCGACTATGAATCAACTGCACCTGGACGCATTTAGAGCGTGGACCTGCCGACCATTCGGACGAGAACGCAACACGGCAAACAAGCTTGCGAAGTAACGCACGCCTTTGTCTCTGATATTTACACAGCGAACCGGGTCCTAGTTTATTTTTAAAGGCGGAATCAACCGAGCGTGACCCCAATGACCGGTACAGAGATTTCGCGACCGATGTTGACCGTGAGCAGGAATCGAACTCAGTTCGCCAGGTTCGTAGGGCAGTGTGTTAACCACCACGCTGACGCTTCCACACACACATACACACACATACACACACATACACACACATACACACACATACACACACATACACACACATACACACACATACACACACATACACACACATACACACATACACACACATACACACACATACACACACATACACACACACACACATACACACAAAGATAAAAGATTCCCCGTATAGCCTTAACAGACTGTAGGGGCAAGTGCTGTTAGCGAGCACCTATGAAGGCCGGAACGGTACACGAGGGGGTGGGTGGCCAGCACCACGCCCGACAGCCTTTGTCTCCCCAGTGGCGATGTTTACACACTGCACCAGGTACTCATTTAAGGCTGAGTCGACCTAAGGGAGGCCCAGGACCGGTTCAGATAATCGTCACTGGTGTTACCCGTGAGCGGGAATCGAACCCGGGTCGCCAGATTCATAGCGCAGCGCGCTAACCGCTACACTACCGCTCCCCACTATACACACACATACACACACACATACATAAACACACATACACGCATACACACACACAAAAACACAAAGATCCCCTATTTAGCCTTAACAGACTGTAGGGGCAAGTGCTGTTAGCGAGCACGTATGAAGGCCGGCACGGCACGCGAGGTGGTGGGTGGCCAACACCACGCCCTGCCGCCTTTATCTCTCTAGTGCCGGTGGTTACACATCGCACCAGGTACTCATTTGAGGCTGAGTCGACCTAGGGGAGCCCCGGAACCGGCACACTACCGCTCCCCACAGGCATGCTTTGTCGTGTTTAGTTTGTTGTCCTTCCCCCCGCACCTCCGATTAGCACGGTTGGCTACGTGCGGCGAGAAAGACGTTCAACATACATCGATGCAAAACGCGTGGACTGCACAGCGCTTTCTACATTAGAAATACGGAAGCCAACGGGTTCCCCAATGTTCCTCAAAGCTCTGGATTGCGTCTCCTCCAGGTTTTGCGTCGTCCCGCAATCAACGTGGCCGGAGAGTCGTGGCTCGAACGGGAATCCTCCTGGCAGGCGTGGCACCTCCAGATGCCACTGCCATCGGCACACAGCCGCGCCACGTTCTGACCCTCAGCTCAATCGGGCCAAGCTTCCATTGAGGGAGGTCAGATCGCGTAAATATATAAATGTGTCGTTCAAACCCGCCACCACCCGGCACAGCCAACTAGTAAGGGTTGTCACGTAAACAGAACGTGCCAATTCGTCACTAGTATAGCACGCCGGTGTGTTGGAGAGCCAAGCCACAACATCAAGTACTTGTTTGAACGACACATTTACATATTTACGCGATCTAACCTCCCCAAAAAAACCTCTATTATGGATGATATTGGTCGCGAAAGCCTACGTGGTAAACAAAGCAATTGAGTGCCGGGTTCATCTTTACTAGGACTCATCGGCGGAGTTTCTGTGCAACTCAAACTGGGCCAATCCTCTCTTTGGCACCACCTACATCGGCCAAACTTTTCAACGTCCGTGTCGTATCATCATTTGACGGCAAATTGAATGGATGCCGCGTTATGTTGGACGTGTGTACCAATCATCATGCTCATGCAGCGTGCAACGACCTATTGTTTATTTGAACGGGAAATATTGGGGGGGGGGGGCACAGTGGGTGTATCGTGGTGGGCCGCGAGCACTGGAGGTTAAACCCCTGATTGATATATTGTACAACATATACACAGTACACCCAATGTTCGCGTTGTGCCCGTGCAGATAGACGCGATATTTCACAACAACGTGTGTTGACGTTCTAAAGCGTCACTGTGTTTATATACGGCGTGTACTCTTAGACAAACAAACAAACGCTCATGACCTCAGCGCACGATGTCCATCTCTGGTGCGCAGTCTTGCATGGAGATGCAATCGACGAATGTTCGTGCTCACCGTTGACCAAGATGAACCACCACGAAATTAGATTCGCTGGCTCGATAGTTTTTCACCTGTGTCCTCACGTTATGATGAAGACGACAATGATAATTATGACGAATGATTGTGATCGATATGTCTGCGCGTCCTCCGCTATAGGCGATGTGCCCTTTGTTTCGACTCGGCGATGTTTTCTGTGCGATGCTTTCTAGGAGGCTTCGTGAATCAGTGATACCCTCGTCACCGTTGCAAACGTCTCAAGGGATTATCCACGTAAACATTAGTATAATCAATTTAAAAAAATCTATAACATCGCGTAAGTAATATTTGTGCGGTAACGCCTACACCTTAAGTTTTAAACAACATGTTTGTTTTTATATGTATGTAACACGATTTTCAGAAGACAGGGAAACAATCGCCTGTGGCCACATAGCCCGGAATGTCCCCGATATCACCACGCCTGGGAAGGTAAGCAGGCGTTGAGCCTGGATATCACGGTTGGCTGCGTACGGTGCGAAAGAAGTTCAGCACGCATACATCGTGCTTGTCCGTGCGACCTCTAGGTATCGCCAGGTAGAACAGCAAGTGGTAT